TTTTTTTTTTTTTTCAGTGGGTCATATTTCTCTATGATCACATTCACTTGAAAATTTTTCAATTTTTCAGCCTGCAGGTCAGGAATCATCTTTTCCCCCTGCAGGTCAGTACCCTTATCCTAGTGGCTTTCCTCCAATGGGAGGAGGTGCCTATCCACAAACTCCAAGTAGTGGCTACCCAGGAATGGGAGGCTATCCTGCTCCTGGAGGTTATCCAGCCCCTGGAGGATATCCTGGTACCCCACAGCCAGGGGGAGCTCCATCCTATCCCGGAGGTGAGTTATGACTCATGGAGTTAGTCATGATTTAGGAATGCTGTAGCACTTTTTCACTTTCTCCTTTATCCTCTTCATTCTTGCTTGTTTTGTATGAGGCCAGAGTCACTCCTATCTAACCTTAGACAGTAAGGACCTAGCTGGCAAGATAGAAGGATAAAGGTTCTCAGGAGATGTGAAAGCTGGGAGCAGTCTCAAAAATTCCATTGTGAAGGGAATTGAAATAAATTTCATGGCAGTAAAAGACAAATGTGGGGGCTGGCCAGTTAGTTCAGTTTGTTAGAATGTGGTGCTAATAACACCAAGGTCTAGGGTTCAATCCCTGTACTAGCCAGCTGCCGGCCCGCCAAAGAGAGAGAGAGAGTGAGTGTGTGTGTGTGTGTGTGTGTGTAAAACACTTTGATTATAATCTTTTGTTTTGGCGGCTGACCAGTACAGAGATACTTGTAATCTAAGAACTGATTAAGACACTTCAGTTAGCACAACTGTGACCTTTAGGACAGCTTTATCCAAGTTAAAAAGAACTTAGCACTTTTGTAAGTTAACAAGGAAGGTGAATGAAGTAAAATTTTATTTTTATTTTTATTTTTATTGTACATAATTGTGGGATACAGTATGTTGTTTCAATACTTGCATAGGGTAGATAGCATATCCATCATCTAAACATTTATCTTTGTGGTGATTGCATTCAAGATCCTCTTTGCTACCTAGTTAGAAATATACAATATAACAGTATTAGCTATAGTCAGCCCAGAACACCAGAACTTATTTTTCCTATCTATCTGTAACTTTGTACCCAAGTAAGTTTTTAAATTTTTTAATGGGGAAGGAGTTGGTGAGAAGTTGAATTTAGACAAAAAGAGACTGCTGTTATAGCACTAATAGCATGTTTTTTTCGCTGTTAATAGTAGACATTTTTCTGAAGTTTTCTCTGCAGTCATGGAAACTGTCACTAGTTTATTTAACTGTTCCCTTCTCTAGTTCCTGCCGGCCAAGGATTTGGAGTCCCACCAGGTGGAGCAGGCTTTTCTGGCTATCCACAGCCACCTTCACAGTCTTATGGTGGTGGCCCAGCACAGGTCCCACTACCTGGTAAGTACCAGCTGTTCACAGAAAAACAATATCATGATATTTTGAATTTTTCAATTGCCATTGAGAGAACTTAGTTTATGTTTAGGATAATCTTCAGTAAATGTTTATTTCTAGAAATAATTTTAAATATATGGTTTTATGAAATACATTAATGGAAAAGCTTAATCAGTAAAATGAAGATAAGGACACACTTTCTCTATTAAAAAATCTATTAAAATCTATTAAAAAACCCTAAAGCCAAAAAAGTAAATCCTTTAGGAACTTCTCTGCCCATTCTTGTACTACAAACAAACCACCCCCAGAACTATATCCTGACAGCCATTCCAGATGGAATCAGAATTTAATGTAGTTCAAGTGTTAAAAAAAAAAAAAGCATTATTCATTAGGATTTTATGTAGAATGTGGAATATTAAAAAGGTTCTTATGACAAAATGTGGTTTTATATTCAGTCAATAATATTGTGTATGTTCTCATATGTTTCCATATTCATAGTGATCAATGCTGGGGTTTTTTTTAATCTCTTGAAGTGACCACATGACTTCCCTTTTTTTTTCTTTTTTTTAACATAACAGGATAAAATTTTTTTTGACAGTTTCTTTTACTGAAACATAATTGATTATACATATTTGTAGGGTA